TGGGTTCTCTGCTATATAACGAATCATCATCACCAATATTGTTTTTTCTGTCTTACCACTACCACTATTATAAATCCTGCACCGTCTCCCGAAACACCTTTGTCAGGCAGTGGTTATCGTCCGGCATGCGATCTCAGTCATAATGGGGAGGTCTGGGGATACGAAATCAACAAGCTACGCCGTTTCTGTATTGTGCACCGAGCTCGTCACTAACTTGTCACGTCACGAAATGCATAGCAGCGGGAGCGTGGTTGAGTGGCGTCGTCGAGATTGGTTTAGTCATGGAGCCTAACAGGAAGTCAGTGAACGAGACAGGGCTAGTGAGGAGCTCAAATAGGGGCAGGAAAGCGTGAACCGCTTGCCACGTAGCCCGCACCGCCCCCTGGCCACCGTAGCCCCTGAACTTTCATCTTTGAGGGTCGCCCGGGGTACGGTTGTTCTGCTACTCACTCTTTCCACTTGAAAAGGTTAGTTAGGAAGGGCTGAGATCTAACGCTCCCCTCCCCTCCCATTCTTAGCCTTATGCACGTACAACCGCGCAGCATGAGGTTTTACAAAGGCATTTCGAGTGTGGTTTGTCTGATTTTGTTCATGTTTGTATGACTTGTCCATCCTGCAACTAGTACCTGAACTGCGAAGCACCATTTTTTGAAGGACGGGTTCGCTTTCAAGAGACCGATATAGCAGCTAATAGGAGCTTATATTTTGTGGAAGCTAATTTGTGGAAGCTTTCAGGTTCTAAGACCATCAATAAAGCCATGACATACCCGTCACCAAAAGCTTCAAAGAACACATTCCTCTAATCAGGGGTGAGAACATTCAGAGAAATATTTTGATTTTTCTCTACATAAGTTTGTTGAAGTTGTGGCACGAATTCTTTCCAACTGGGAAGCAGATTCAAATTCAGCGTCTCAAAATGCATGCAACGTGCACATATCGTTGCGACTGGCCGAATGGGGTCGGGATACCCTTACCAGTCATTTCCATGATGTACATCTCTGGACGGAGTCTAATAGTTTGCGATGCCTAATTATATATACATTCGCAAATTCAGATAGGATTCTTGAATAGTTCAGGTGAGTTTTCTGGAAGACATATTTATGGCCAGAAGAATGTCGGAATCGTAAGACACGACTGGGGAAGGCGCCATGAGAAGTGAAAAGGAAAGAAAAGAAATCGGGAAAAGCAAAAAGAGAGATAAGTTTTCGCAAAAAGTTTTGAGAAAGCCTTTGCATAGTATAATTCGGCCTACCAAATGTGCATATGACAGGAAGCCTTGCGATTGCTGGAAAGTCTCTATAACCGTCAACTGCCATGACTGCTGTGATCCGGGGAGTATCAGCACACATATTGCTCGGATACGAATATGCCCAGTGACTCTTTGGTACAGCCTGGAAAATGCTTAACAAATAGTGAAGATTTTTCGGTGGTCCCACAAGGTTCCTTAATCATTTTATTGGTTAGCCTTCATGTGAAGGAAGCGGGACCCATCCTGTTCAGCCTGAAGATTCAGATCAATCAATGGTGACCTTGCGGAAGTGTCTGATTGATCATAGCCATCCTGTACATCTGTTAACTTGGCGTGCTTCGAGGACTCCGTTCGAACACACTTTCTTTAAAAGACGCGCTCTTGATTCACATCAATTCTTACGCCGGCGCTCCTCCTTCAGTGACACGGCCCAGCTTCACCGAGTTCTTTCTTTCCAATAACGAAACAAGTAATTTGAAGAATCATAAAATAGGGAATGCCGAAAAGCTTCGCTGAAGGAAGAAGCCGGCTAGGCTGGGTAGAGTCAAAGGACGATGAGTGCCGACGAGCGACAGCCGTCCGTGTGGTATTCTACACACATCGGTCGATATTATATCAGAGATCTACCAGTAAAGAAATGTGGAGACGGCAAAAGGGGACACAACGGGGTGGTGCATCTGTGATTTCTGGATTCTCGACTGTCCCCGTTTTAAGCGTACTTTACACCCATCTTCATTGCATGCAGATACTTCAGTTCGATGGTTCTCCCGGTTGATTTTGATTCCACTGCCATCGTGAGGGCTCAAAGAAGGGGTTTACCCACTGAGATCCTAATTATTTGACATTATAGTGGTAAGAGAAAAGAAGAAAGGTCTGTTCTCGATTGATATGATTGCCTTCAGTCGCCATCAATGTCCTTATCACGAAATTATAATTTGGTAATGTAAAAGCTCCACCACCTTGAGCGACGACGACTGCAACGTCACTCATCAGTCCCTATCAGTTGTTATCGTTTTTTGTTATTCGCTATTGATGTCGCCATTCCACCCTATAAATCTGGGCCCCTAAGCCTTGCTGATGCTTTGACGTTCGCTGTGATGACATCCCCTTTTAATGCCTCCTTATCGAATCTTATCAGCTGATATCACTTCCTGTCACCCACCAATAGTGTTCCCGTCACACCGCCTACATCACTTCTTGAAACCAATGTCTCAGTATGCTACTGGGACCGGCACTGTGAATTTCGTTACAGACAGGCCGACACACGCACGGACATAGCCCATTATATGTAGTAGGATGTGCCTTACGACGGCTCGTTCAGTCTGGAGCAGAGCACATCGTTGTTGAGGATTCCCCAACAAGGGAAAGGTCGTCTTTGGTTGCTGGAAGAGGTTGTATTTGGGGTGAAAACGTTTTATGTAGCTGATTTTTCTTCTTTCACGGACGTTGTGGAGGGAGAACAACATTTGTTCGCTGTTGGGAGGGTTGGGTCACCGAGAATGTTCCTGACTTTCTGACATTTTGTGATTCCTGCTTCGTGTGTGCACTCCCTTCCCAGAGGATGTAGTTTCTCCAATATTCACCTTCTGCGTGGTCCAGCTTTGCCACCACCATGTACCATGAGCACCGTCTATGTCTCACTCGGTCACGGAAATAGCACTCAGTAATTATGCTTCAACGCTCACTGTCTCGCATCGGCCTAAAAGCTTACCGTCTCGCATCAGATTGCCTGCTTGCAGCAGTGTTCGGCCCCTCCTCGGTGGGCCATGTGTGGCTCCCTGTCAAAAGTTCTGCGATGTGACCATTTGATGTGTCGGCCATTTTCCACGTAAACGTCTATCAAATGACAGCGCTCTTGTAAGTTTTCCAGGGTAATTTTCTGCGTAGATCAGGGACCCATGCAAGGGAAGTTGACATGAGGCTCACATTTACTGAGCTGTTCCAGTAATGTCGAAGTAGTAGTAAACATTTATCTCCTACAGGACTACAACATAGGATATTGTATAACAAATACTATTCAATAGTTAATGCATTGCTGCAATGGTTGCTCGCTATTGCCTGTTCTACTATTAAGCAAACAGTGCAACTGCAACAAACTATGAACAGGCACTCATCAGGCCTCTGTTGCAGTACCGTAGAGGACACCCCTGGCACATTAATTCACAA